CAATTAATCAGATATAAAGAATTTTCATATTCTATACCTCGAGATATTTTTTATTGAGGTCTTTGTTTATCATTTTGTCAAATAACGCTCCACGAAGTGGTAATTGACCTATGCTCAGTGGCTTTAAGAAGACTTAGGTATGTACCTTAAATATGAATTCTCACATCTAGAAGATCGCTTAGGAATGAAGGGATAACCTTCAAAAACAAAATTGTATTGTTAACCGAGACAGGGCAGGGGAAACTAACGTAATCGAGATTTGTGGAACAGACTCAAAGCATACACAACATACCAAGACGTAAGTCTTCCTATTTTATAATCTGCTTGTGAACTCGAATAGGTGCTCCAGTGTTGGCTTTCGAAAGAGAGAGTTGACCACTGGAATCCTGTTGTATTTTGGTGGTCCGAATCTTCGAATTAGGATACTTTCTTTTTAACGATTTCAATATTGTAGTTTGAACTGAATCAGAGGTCAGTGCACTATTTGCAGAGGCTGTAGCAGTAGATTTTACTTTGGGAACAATCTTTTTATTCAAGTGTTTTGTCAGTGAGCGTCCACCAAGAGTGTTTTTTGGCACAGAGAGTATACCATTGGAACTCTGTTGTTTTTTTACGTTTTTAAGCCTCGAATCAAGACGACGCTTTACTTTAGAGGATCCCACGATCACAGTTCGAGCTGCCTTCACTCTATGAATGTTAGTAGAGATAGATTTGCTCGGAACCAATGATTGGGAAGGAAGAGTAGCACTAGAATTCTCCTTGATGATAGAAGCAACCGGAGCACCGACTGTGGAAGAAACTAAGCCAGGTGAAGCTGTCTTGTGGGCCGGCTGGGAATTAGATGAATCCGCAGTTAGCAAATCATGTTCAAAACCCATAGAAGTTGATAGAGCGGGATTTTGCTCACAAGACAATTGAGCAGACCTTGGTTTCTTTATGAAAAAATAAGTAGAATATGGAAATTCAATTTAAAAAAAAATTAAATTCCGAATACTATATTAAGCGAAACAAGTGGTAAAGGCAGACCACATAAATGAGGAACAATAAGATATGGTCTCTGGGATGTTTACAGTATCCTTTTAGTGAATATGATTGACTTGATTTCTGTTAGGTACAATACTCTTTTCGGAGCCACTTTTATGAACCTAATCTGCATTGCTACCTATGCATTGGTGGTCATGCATTTTTTTCGGAATAAGACTATCTACTGAGTATTTTTCAGACGTCGGCATCATAAGTGATGTGCGTCATATTTGGCACCAGGCTAATTCGTCAGTGATATTCTGAATGCATGACTCATTCTCTCCTATATCTATCTCCAAGTTCTTGTTTGTTTAAATAAAGCCAAATTTGTCCACCTTTAAGTCGATTTCGCGAGCCATCTCGACCCTATCTGGCAATCGCCTTTATTCAAATGATCACTTCTGTCCTTGAGCGCCCATCTCTTATCCAATTGGCTATATATAACTCTTTGATAACGGCTACTGGAGCCATGCTACGGACTTTTTCCACACGAGAGGCATCGAACACATGAAGGAAAGTGCACGATAGTTGACTAATCGAGGACAGTTACCGAAATTGCGATTGTCACGATTGTTGTCTCCTTGGCGTCAGAAAACTGATTTTCCAGCTATCACCTTCAACCTTTAACACATTCCCGCATATAAACGGAAGCATCCAGATTTGGAATTCATAAGAACAGATAGTATGAAGCTCTACAGCTCCACTTATCTACTCCTGCTCAGATAATAGCACATCATTTACTCTCGTGTTATAATTCCAGTCCAACCTAATAATAAAGTTCCCTTTCATTACGTTCAGTTCCTATCATTCAGTAAATTTGGTGAGAATTCGAGATACGAGACCTTTGGTGAATGTATGCCACAGCAAATAAGATGAAATTGCAA